ATATATATATATATATATATATATCCTCAGTGCACCAAGGAATGTACAAGGGGAGAGACTTTATAAGGATCGCACATTGTGAGAGTTTTCAAATTTATGTTACAAGTTTTCCAACACCGGTTGGTAGGTATACATATATGTATAAGGTATACTCCTTGAGATATTGCGCGCCTAATCCCTTCGGAATTGTATTAAGTGCATATATGTCGGATATCACTTTCTGATCTTCTAACTTGTGGATAAAATCTGTTGATTTATGTATACACACTAATCCCGTACAAATGGGATGTGCTTGCAAAAGCACGCGGTAATATAAGATCATTCGAATCGTTAAGCTTTGAAAATCATTGGAAATTGGTACGTCGGTGACGTTTGCGCGAATCAAAAGTAGATTGGAATGTGAATAATAGATTTTTCCACTTGGAGACGCGGCAGGAATCATGACTTCTTTCTTGGGACACTTGACCCGATAGTTTGCTCAACGTTTGATAAAATTTAAACGACCTTCGTCTAACAGCGACGCGCGTACGGTGCACTTCAGCTAAACGATAAAAAAAAAAAAAAAAGAAAAAAAATAGAGTATCGAAGTATCACGTTCTACTCTCGAAAATTACACTTGCGTGTTTAACGTAAGATATAAACAAAACGTACTTTTCATCCATGTTTTGGATGGTGTCAGTCATCGAGAAGCTTTTTGCTTCCAGCTTAGTTATCAGTTCCGTTTTGTGTCTAATCGAGCTCTCGCATTCCTGGAATACATGACAGATACATTATACACCAGCTTTGATAAATTTTTTTTTTTTTTTTTTTTTTTTTTTTTTTTATTGATTTATGTATAACGTACTTTTGAGAAGTAATGATAAATAAATCAATTGACAAAGTTGCTTAGTTGTTCATCTTCTACTTCGGAATTGAAAAAAAAAAAAACCAAGAGTATTGTTTATGATTTTTACATGGATGAAAGAACTGTTTCACATTTTATGAGTAAATCTTTTAATGATTTATAACAGACTATAATTAACAAGACCCGTGCCATGTATCAAAGTGATATAGGTACTCCAAAAGCAAAACTCTATAGACATTCAGGAGGAAGTGTGTATTGGTAAATATGCTTTAGATCACACAATAACTTACTGCTTGTCACGGTGGGGCATATTGTCACGTAACAAACAACAGGTCAAATAAATAAAAAATAAATAAATAAATAAATAATGTAAAGTACAGGTGCATCGAGCTGACCATTTTTAGGTTTGGTAAGTATAATCGATGCTTTTTGAAAAATACAATGGCCTTGTAAGGTCACGAAAATGGCACTCTCTCTCTCAGAACCAGCTACGAAGGAGCATAGAGGACAAAGGAGGGCTGTCATTGGACTCGATTATTTCCCATTGGACTTTTAAATCATGTAGCCTTTTACGAGAAAACAATCAAAGCTACCACTAGCTGAAAGGTAAGTTACAAGACTAAACTTATCTTCAACACGTTTTCTCGATTATTAAAAACGCGGTTCAACGTATGATAAAATTGCGCCCGTGTACTACGGTACACTTAAAACGGGACCAGCAATTACTTTGTCGGAGCAAATTGGGAGTGAGGTATGTTGGGTCGTCCTTTGATAAAATTAACGGTAAGTAAGTCGAAGGGCACCCATAGAAAATCAAAGTTCGTACACACATATAGGGTAACGAGTAAGTATATATAGGTATGAATTTTAAGAAAAAATACTCAAACGAAGGAAGAATCTTCTCTGACAAGCCGTATACACGGGTGTAGATGTATAATTATACGTAGGAATAATTGAGGCAGGAAACCCAAGCAACTCATCGCATCTCGCGGAGCCCTATGAAGTACCCGTATAATATACCTACATTCATCCTCTAAGTTTAAGCTTCTTTTCTGCTCTGTCGAATTCAGAGTTCGAATACCTCCATACGAGATGTATGTAACATAAATACCTCCACCCCGAGTCGTAAATAAAAGTTTAATTTGACGATTTCCTCGGATAGAAGGAAGTTGTGGGTACGTGTACCTCTGAAAAGAGAAGAGGTAAAATCTTGGAACCTTGGAAAAGAGCGCAAAGAGGTGTGGAGCGTGTATAAAAAAAAGGTATGCTATGATAAAAAAGTTGTAAGGTATATGTGAATGGTATATACCTTGCGCCGAGAGATCGTGAACTCGCGGCTGCACCCGTTGCATTGGGTGACCATGCGGTCGTGGTCCCAGGCGGCCAAGGACGCCCCAACCGTAGAGCCGCAACTGTCCGGGCTGCCCGGCTGAGCCGCGGCCTCGCGCAACTCCACCGCTGCCAGTTTCGCCTTGCTCAACTGGACCCCCAGCTCCTCGAGGGTTTTCTCCTGCTCCTCGCAGATCTCCTTCAACGCGTAGTGCTCCTCCTGCAGGGCCTTGTACTTCTGTCAACATTTTTCAGTCACGGTAATATATCAGTATACACTCTCCTGCCGTACACTCTCTCAGAGGGCTCATGCACGTTACAGTTTTTTTTTT